ATTTATTTTAGAGCTTGTTATGGGATACCATATAAAATATACTACCTCTAATTAGGTTCATAAACACAAACTTCCCTCCACCCATTAAAATTCTATCCAGTTACATTTTAACACACATTGTGTGTTAAAAACTACACAACTTGTGTCAAAATACCATCAACACATGATGTGTGTTGTTTTTTAACACATCTCTTTTTAGAGTGCAGGCGTTAGATGGAAGGAACATCTAAATATAAGGACATCTTTCTTGTATTGTGATGCAAAACATAAATATGTAGGCTATATACAGTGGGTATAAAAAGTCTACACACTCATTTTAAAAGTGCAGCTTTTTGAGATGTAAAAAATAAGATCTTTTTTTCACCTTTAATGTAATGCTGAAACAAGCTGAATTTATGTAACACAAAAACAACCTGGTTGCTTGTGTGAAGTGTGAAGACCCTTTTGGGGCATGGTGCTCTGTTTGGAGTAAACCAATCACATTTTAACTCTTACTGGAAAAATAATGACAATCATTGGGTTATCATAATGCTAATTAACCCTGAATAAAAATCTGTGGTTTCTTAGCATCTTCTTGGTCACATTTTATTGCCAAAGCCATGGGCCTCAAAGAGCTTACAAAGCTCAATTTGCTACAAACATAGCAACTGTTCGGGCCACATAACCAGTTTCCCTCGGCCCATATAGAATGACGGCCCTGGGATGGCTTAGATCTGGACTCCAGACATGAGCCACATTTGGGAAATAATGGCCCAGAATCTCAGGCAAATAAAAACTCATAACCAGCCCTGAGCAGAAGTTTTTATTGTGGTACCAAATCTTAGCCTTCAGTGAACCATTCCAACGCAAGTCTTTAACCAGAAAGTCCCAAACTGAGCCATAAAAAATGGCAACAAACCATCTCAACCATAGGCAGTATAACACACATTCACACCAAGTCAGTTCCTACAATTCACACATAATTGGATTTGGAATCCGGATCTGAGGGAAAGACCTTCTGGCTCAGCTGAGATTTGAACCTTCTTGCTGTGCGGTGACTGAGCCACTGTGATGCCCTTTATCACAGCCATAAGATACAGGCACTTGAAGAATTGCATAACTTTATTTGTCATACATCTACAAATGTTATCATTGAGAATAACAGAGGTTTAGATCTAGTTAATGTTGATGTTTTCATTAAAATAGTTCATTTGAAGTCACAATTATGGTGAGCAGTGTTCGCATGTTAGGATCTTGACTCCTTATTTTTAAATCAATTCTCTTTCATCATTTGCAATAGAGTATTGCTGAGAGCACTTGTGCATTAATAATGAAAAAGATTGATGATTGCACTTGAGACATTCAAGTGAATGTCTTAAAACAGCTAACTTCACAAGCTTTTGTGTTGAAGTATTATAATGATTTATTCAAAGGTTCTATTAAACATATGTAATAGAAATATTTCTATGAAGCAACAACATGAAGGGAGATCACCACAAATTGATGACATCAGTTGTTCAAGAGACTTTCAATGGTTATTCAGTTGTGTGGACATTAACACTTATCATACAAACCTCAACAATGGTGACAATCAACAGTATTCAAGTGCGTATAACAATTACAGATACAAATATCACCTCTGAATATTCTCTGAATATAACAGGCTACTAAAAATCAGCAAAAATAAAAGCAGTAAGACAATTCATCTGCATAATTGATGCATGCTGGGAGTCATGGGTGAGTTTTGTACTATGCTGGTACCCATCGTGCATTGCAGCATGAAGTTACTATGCAGGTGCCCATCATGCATTGCAACATGAAGCTTTTTTATTGTCACCATTGTTGAGATTCAGATGAATAATCTTGATATTTATGTGTCTACAATATCCAGTGGCTTAAAATTATTTGTGCACACTTTTAGACAATCTAATCGTTTTAATGCTATTAGATGTCATTCTGCAGTTTCACAGAAGTCAGTGACACAAATTATAAACAAAGATAAAATCATATCACTATAATAATTAATGAGGAGATTTGAGATCAGTAAAAGCTGATTTCATGATGCTTTTGATTTTTGTCAACAAGGAGCTGACAACTCCTGTGGCCTGTTGCAGAAAGCCAGATTCAGTTGCTACCCAGGTAAGTTTTACTCATTATTTTGAGTAAACTTTGTTTTTTCAGGCTTAAGAATGGGTTTCATTGCCATGGTAACTTTACATGGCTAACCTTGTATGGCAAGGAGGAGGTTTTTTTATGGCTTCGCAAACCCAAACTGGACCAATCAGCTGTGAGTAAAGTGTATCTGATGTAATTAAGCCACTTAATCAATTAACTATATATGTACACAAATGCAAGCTTTAAGATGAGCTTTTAAACAGATTAAGCTTCTGTGTATTTCGTTTGAGCTCTTTGTGAACCTATAAGTTTAAGGTCTATTTGTTTGATTCACTTGCATTGATGTAGTCAGATATTTTCTTTCAGCTGCCTTGTCAAATGTTCACTGCAGCAGCAGTTTATTCTTGCCTTGCAAATGCATTTAATTTCATTATATTTTTCTTAATGATTTCTTAATTTCTCGTTCGTTGAATGAACCAAATGACTTGAAAAAGATTTGTTCATTTTGATGAACGAGTTCGAACAGGAGAGTCACAAACGTGCATCACAGAACAGAGCAAGGCAAGCATTTGAGCTTATAAAACTTAAACTTTGTTTGTTTTTTTAATGACCGATCGTTTCGCTTGATAAGACCCTTATTCATCATCTGAAATCATTTAAAGCCCTTTGAACAGTTTGCTGTTTGCACTGAAAGTGTCTTTTGGACCTTTTGTTTGGTTCTGTTTGGTTCCCATTGAAGTCCATTATATGGAAAAAATGCTGGAATGTTTTCATCAAAAATCTTAATTTCTTTTCAACTGAAGAAAGAACGACATGGACGTCTTGGATGACATGGGGGTGAGTAAATTATCAGCAAAAGTTTTTTCAAAAGTGAACTACTCCTTTAAGTGCATTTTTTGTCAAATACACAGACGTTTTCGTGAAGCAACAGAAAAACTTTGTGTAAACATGTGTTTAGTACAATAAGTTCAACATAAGCCTGTACTATTTAAATACCAATAAAGTGGGTCTATATTTTTATCAGTTTTATTTTGATAAACATGATGCTATATAAATTATTGTTACATGAAAGGGGTTATAAATACAAGGATTGTGAGCATCAGAACTGAAAGTGTTCGTAAAAACACACATAATGCGGTGAATCCTTGCGGTGAATTTTTTTTTATTGTTTTTTTTTTTTAAACACACAACATTATAAAACATAGTATATGTGTCTTATTAAGGGCATCACAGATTAAGGGCATCACAGTGGCTCAGTGGGAAACACTGCAACTAAAAGGTCCCGGGTTCAACTCCCAGCTGAGCCAGAAGGTCTTTCCCTCAGATCTGGATTCCCTCACAATCCAAAGATGGAATTGCTAACACTAAATTGTCTATTGGTGTGAATGTGTGTTTTGCTGCCTATGGATGGGTCCATGGCTGAGCAAATTTGATGTCATTTTTGTGGCTCAGTTTTGGGGTTTCTGGTTAAAGACTGATGTGTTGATATGGTTTATTTATATGGTTTACTGAGTTGCGGCCGACACGCAGCGTCGGCGCGCCCTGCTCTCACGAGTCATGACTGATTTAGCTTCCGCTTCCCCGCAGCCCAGGCGAGGGCGAGCCCGAGCCTCTGCTCTCACAAGTCATGACTGGGAAATAGGAAGTTCATTTTACTGACTCTCTGAGTCATTCGAGTGATTTCGTTTATTTAAGTGGCTTTAAATGTTATAATTTTAACAGCCAAATTCCCAAATCACATCCACCAACGCAATGTTGATCATATTCTGAATTAAGAAATCATAATACAGTAAAAAATGATTTACAGGGAACATAAATAATTACATCACCTTCCGAGTCTCACGTTCATTTGTCACGTGACATACGCAATGAACAGTTCGTTCATCATCACCTATCTGGGACTAATGCAGCAGGATGTTGAAACGAAATATGGTGGATTATTATTATGATAATAATAATATGATAATAAGAGCGCACCAGGAGCGTTCACAGCCGAGGAGACTGACATTTTTGTCATGGCCGTAAAAGACGGAGAACTGACGTTGAATGGGGGTAAGTTATGTCCTTATAGTTATGCATATAGTTATGGCCAAACAGGTCTGATCCGTCATTACTACAATTAGCCTGAAAAATTTGGCTAGCCAAATGTGTAAGCTTGAAGTGTTAATATTTTTCCTTGTTATAATGTATAATTTGCAAAATAAAAACGGCTGCATCTGTGTTGATGAGAGAATCAAAGTGCACATTGTGCACAAGCTACATAATGGCCAAGCATGCGCCCTTAACGTGCAAAGCCATCGTCCTGATTTTGCCAAGTGGGAGCTGTCCTGACTGACTTTAGACTAGTTTTAGACTAGTTAAATGGCATGTTGGTTTTTGTTTGTTGTTGCTGGTATTCGTTGCAAATAGAGGGGCGGCAAAATAGTTTTTCGCCTAGTGCAGCAGAAGTGCCGGTCCTGGCTGTAAACACTTGATGATGTGAGCGAAATACCGGAGTGAACATGGTTGTAAACGACCTTTGAAAAACCCCGGAATACTCTCCATAACAGAGCGAATTGCATCCAGTGTCTCGTTTCCCATTTCTGCGGTCGTTGCGGTTTTCGATTTCTCTAACCTACAATGTAAAACTCGGCGCTTAGCGCCTATGTCACGGCTCTCAGCCCGGTTTTCAGACCGGTGGAAAACTGAAAGATAGACTGCTATCTCAGACTGACTACAGGAGCGAAATGAAATTAGCGGAAGTAGTAAGTCTGACGTAGTCCGGCTACCTGTTATTGCCCTTGTGTGGTTCATGTCTGTAGTCCAGATCCAAGCCATCCCAGGGCCGTCATACTAAACTGTTACGTGGGTCGAGGGAAACTTTGTGTGGCCCGGAAACTGATTTGTGTGCAAGTCTGCTGTTTTACCTTCACTAAATATTCCAGATCTGAGGAGTTCACACATGGATGCTGCTCGAGGAATTCCAGTTTTTCCACTAGGATGGCCAGTTTCTTTGACATCTCGTGAGGCTGTTCCAACTCTTTAAACACAGTTGCTCCAATAATCAAGTACAGCACCACCAGCAGGAAGACGGTCAGCACTGTTTTCCAGCGCATGACGGTTACACGAGGCTCAAAGTCTTCCGAAGACTTCAACAGCACTGGTTGAGCCGAGAATGAGAGACGAGGTCTGGAGTTATGAGCGGCTGTTTTAGGATCAAGGAGGTCAGGAGCAGCCACTAAGAAAGAAAGAAAGAAAGAAAGAAAGAAAGAAAGAAAGAAAGAAAGAAAAAGAAAGAAAGAAAGAAAAAGAAAGAAAGTGAGATAAGCTAATGACTGTGAATTAAAGAACATGTTCTGAAGATCATTTTGCTCACCAGATTATTCGCACAATCACATCAGTAGCCCAGTGGTTTTCTGATTTGCAGGATTTCAACATGACATCGTGACTTTTCCGTAAACATACACGCCACTTTCGAGTCAGGTGGCGTGTTATCTCAACGCATTTTGAGCTATCCGCGTGTATGTCTACGCCATTAATGTCCGCGTCATTCCGCGTGTCTGTACACGCAGTCAAATCTCCAGTCATAAATGCCATTAACCCCAGTGACGGTTAAGTTTAGGGACGGGGTTGAGGTAAGTCATATCTTTTTTTTACCTAGGATGGTAAGGGAACAGTCATAAATGCCATTAACCCCATGCAGTGACGGTTAGGTTTAGGGACGGGGTTGAGGTAAGTCATATATTTATATAACGTTAAGTCAACGGCGTTCATAAACACGCTGAAAGGCGATTATGTGTCTTGATAGCACGCCAAAAAGCAAACCAGCAAACCAAAACCATATTTTTCTAAAGCCACTAAAAGAAACCCCCACTCCACCCTATCGAAGACCTTTTCCACATCAAGCAATATTGCAGCAATGGGATCTAGATTAGAATGATTCATTCACATGAGACGTAATAGCCTTCTCATATTGTCAGACGGCTATGTATTTTTAATAAAGCCCACCTGATCTCTGTGTATAATTTTAGGTAAAATACTTTCTAATCGTGAGGCTAATAATTCGCAGGATTCATCATATCTCTGTCCAGTTTTGGTATGAGTGATATTAAGCCTTCATTAAAAGTGTCAGGTAACATATCATCCTCGAGTACCTCTAAATATACCTCAGTTTATATTGGGGTCAACTCATCGACAAACTTCTTTTCAAACTTCAGAGCCTGGTGATTTTCCAGATTTCAAAGACATTATAATATTTCTGACCTTTTCGTGTTATAGGTCCATCTATTGAGTTTCGTTCATCGGGAGTTAAAGTGGACAATGTAACATTGGCTTAAAAGTCTTTTAACTCCTGACTGGAAATGGATTCTGATGTGTAGTTTTAAATAGAACTGGTTAATAACCCTATTAATTTCTTTGATGGAGGTGAGCACCTTATTTCCTTCCTTAATTGCAAGTATGACGTGAGATGCATTGTGATGCTTTATCTGCCTAGCAAAGAGTTTCCCAGGATATCAGAAACTAGTGATAATTTGGGAAGAATGTGTATTTCCGTACTTGTGGATTAACCAATCTCCAAATATCTGTTAATCCATTGTCATCTTTGAGAGTGTGAATGGCAGCTTCTCTAGGGCTTGATTTGATATTGTTTTGACTTCTGTCCAGGATGTCATAGTCTGATTTAAGTCACCTCCAGGGAGGTATTGCACAAAAGTAGAAATAAGAAAGCCAGGATAACAGAGCAGTCGCGGCTTGACATAGTTTGATCAGTGCATCCTAGCTTATTCGGTTCACAATTAATTATTTGTTCACAATTTAAATAAGATTATTTTCATCCTACTAAAAGAAACATTGTGAAGTTGATATTTTTAGTCACTGGCTTGACTTATGCATAAAGAGTATTAAACGATTTTGAGAGAAAGATTACGTGTCTGAACATGAACAATTAGGCTACACATTAGGAATTGTTGCTTGGTAGCTTGATCGATTTATTTTCAGACGTTCGTCGAGGCCAGCTCTGTATTGGCCCAAATTGAGGAAACAGTCATCGGTGAAAAGTTGTGTCGGTGCATTTCCAGAGAAAATAAAATAAACTCATTGTTTTTTTAGATGTTCGGATGAAGGAACTAAAAAATACTTTTGTGTTTATTTGTACATCTGAACACTGATCAACTGCCCAGGTTCACTCGTTTGCAAGCCATGATATCTCTCGAGAAAATACTAAAATCGCACTTCCGTGTTTGTACGTCCAAGCTCATTTTCTCATGGGCGAGCCACATTCTCTTGGTGGGCAAAGCAGAGAAAGGGGAGGTAACTTTTCCCCGTATGACGTCATATGGAGGAGATTCAAGATCAGCCCATCTGAGCTTTCATTTACTCAAAGGCAGAGAAAGATAGCCAAAGGTCATTTATACCGATTGATATTTCATGTCAGGGGACCTTTAAGAGGCAGTGAGCCCATTTCTGGGTCACACATCTGGTCTGTGTTGCTCGAGGTCAACGTGCACTCGCTGACTCAGGAAGACAGACCCCAAAGCGTTCTCCGACCTACCATTTCAACCACGGCATAATACTTCAACTTGCATATTTCCCGTCACAGTAATTTACTTGTCACCTCTTGGATGTGCTCCTTTATATATCTTTCTGCTTTCATGTGGTTGCCAGAACATGGAGACAACACAATCACACTGATGGTTTCTTTACAGGAAGCAGAGAACAAGCAGTAACAGGTAAGCTTTCACAGGGACGTTTGGTTGAATGACTTAGCTCTTGGTTAAGTCTCTTTGTCCTTTGCAGGTGCGTGGCCGTGAAGCTGAACTGAAGTAGACGGAAGATGGCGAAGGCTGACAAACAGGGATCTCAACAGGTGAGCAGCACAGGGAGGTGGTCAGGTAAGTTGAGCGGTAGTGAACAATGAGACCAGACAGTGATGGTGTAGAGATTTAATGTGCTTAAATACAGTGATGGCGACAGGTTGGAATTTGAGGCTGATCGAATGGGTGGAGCTGAAAGGTCAGGTGTTGATGGTGTGACAGTGGTCAGCTTTTTCCCATTTCAGGTAAACTTCAGAGACTGGATGAACCATGGTATGCTGCCAGGACTATCGCCCTAGTGGTACAATGTAGAAATTTCACCAACACGGCCCAGGGACGTTGATCATCATTAGGCTTAGGGGATCACAGAGTAAGAGATCACAGAGATGACTCCGCTCAATCTCGAACTGTGATCACGACAACCTGAGCCCATCTGACCCCCATCTTTTGGACAGACTCATTTTGCTGCCTGCTTCTTTCCCCTCTTTAAGATTCTTTTGATCTTATTCTGCCTGCTGAGATTTTCTAAATTCTCTTCCTCAATTTCTAAAAGCTTTATTCCAGAGTTCGTCCACAAGTTTCGCCATCCTCTCAGTGTGTTGAATCTTCCACTTGTGAGAAGCGATTTTCAGCTTTGTCAAATCTGGCCTGAACAGAGATAACATCTTTATGTTTTGTAATAGTCACATTAATAGTTTTCAAATCACTTGCTACCCCTGCAAATTAGCGTTCATTTGATTAATTTCAGGAAAAATATATTTGAAGTTGACGGTGAATCATTAGCTCCAGGGCTCGTTGTTTCTCGACGTGTTTGCACAACTCAAATTGCTTGCTTGGAAGATGTCATTTGTTGTTTGATAAATAAATTATCTATCAAAGTTTGATTAAATTTGTTAAGCAAATATACTGTATACTAAATAATCTAATTAATGGTGGGTATCCCGAGCACTGCTATAGTGTGCTGCCCTTTCCCAGCTTACCATCATGTGAATCTACATATCTTTGCAGTCTTTATAACATGATGCAAACAAAATGCAGCAAAAACTAAAAAAAAAAAGAGGGAACATAGGTTAAATTTGGAAACTTAAAAATTAAAAGTGAAGTAATACAATTAAAATAGGGTCACATCTTCATATCTTTTCAGTCTTTATTTTTTGACAGCTCCTTGGCTACTGTATATGTAGATTTTTGGACAAAACTAATGTGTCAATGTTGTCACTTGATGTCACTCGATCTAAGTGGGCTATACACTCCCCTAAAGGATTATTAGGAACACCATACTAATACTGTGTTTGACCCCCTTTCGCCTTCGGAACTGCCTTAATTCTACGTGGCATTGATTCAACAAGGTGATGAAAGCATTCTTTAGAAATGTTGGCCCATATTGATAGGATAGCATCTTGCAGTTGATGGAGATTTGTGGGATGCACATCCAGGGCACGAAGCTCCTGTTCCACCACATCCCAAATAAGCTCTATTGGGATGAGATCTGGTGACTCTGGGGGCCGTTTTAGTGCAGTCAACTCATTATCATATTCAAGAAACCAATAAAGGGATGGACATGGTCAGAAACAATGCTCAGGTTGGCTGTGTCATTTAAACAACTTAGGAGGACTAAAGTGTGCCAAGAAAACATCCCCCACACCATTACATCACCACCACCAGCCTGCACAGTGGTAACAAGGCGTGATAAATCCATGTTCTCATTCTGTTTACGCCAAATTCTGACTTTACCGTCTGAATGTCTCAACAGAAATCGAGACTTTAACTTCCTCCTCCTTAGTTACAAATGTGTTCTTAAATCAAGGATCACAGAAGGTTGCTGAATTGTAACTCATCATTGCTGTATCTCATCTCCAGTGTTTAAATTGCAGGTCTGTATCACTGTCCTGTACACGTGACAGTATCTGCACGTCACAGGGATGACAGAAGAAAGTGTTGTCACTTTTTCTCCACACAAGGCATCCGTGGAAGTAATTAGTGGGCCCAGGGCCCCTCACACTGTCTCCAGTGTGGGGATTTCTGTGCCAGTAGGCATTAGGCTCCACTTATTCACAAATGTCTTGCTGCTGTTCACAGAAACTGTCCACCATATCAAATGTAGAACCAGAAAGTGGGTTCATCGTTAACCAGCTTGTGCTCTGTGGAATCCAAGAAACCAGGACTGCATTTACCCAAGAGTCACTTATAAACTGAATTGTCTACTGGTTCAACTCACATGTCTGTTGCACAAGCAAAGTAAGGCTATTTGGACAGTTGAGACTCAATCACATACCTTGTTTCATTAACCGAGATTAATAAATGCAATAATACTGTTATGTAAGGTCAAAGTGACAAAGTGTAAATATTATTAGATCTAAACTTTGTTGGTCCTAGCGAGTCAAGCATGCACAGTTGAGCTTTCGTCTTTACCGTGTCATTTATT